TGCAGCAGAGGCTACCATCCCTGCAGCTTTCACCCTGCTGCACCTTAACACACACAGTGTCACCCATGTCACAAGTTTTGCTTTTCTGCCGCTTGAGGTGGAGTTCCCCCCAAATCCTTGCACCTTGAAACTTGGCAGGCTTCATGGCCTGAGCAGGGGCCACCACCCCTGCAGGGGCCACCACCCCTGCAGTTTTCAACCCGCTGCACCTTAGCACACACAGGGGCATCTGTGTCACAAGTTTTGCCTATCAGCAGCTTGAGGTACAGTTCCCCCAAACCCCTGCACTGATCTTCTTGAAACATGGTATGCTTCATGCTCTCAGCACAGGCTACCACCCCTGCAAGTTTCATCCAAATCAGACAAAAAAACAACAAAGTTATACACATTTCATTTATTCCCCATTCTACCCTATGGCTGGATCTCAGAGGCAGCTCTGAAGCTTTGGAGCCGCTTCATCCGGATCGAAGCAGAAACCTGGTCCGGAGCTCTGGATCGAATCGCTGGCATCCAAAGTGGCCAGATCCGAAGCTGGATCGAATAGCTGCCTACTCGCACAGGCCTACCTCTAACCCTCGACTCTGTGCGTAGTCTCTCCCCAACCTCATTTACTTTTCTTTCCATTTATCTGATCCTCTCCCAACATCATGCTGCCCCAAATACCATGACACCAATTTGACTTTTGTTGTCAGCATGCTATTTCCATTGGTGGTGTCATATCCCTTCCTTCCGCCTGTATATTAAACTTATTTAAATTGTAAACCCTCTGCTACTGTGTTTGTACTGTGCTCAGCACAACCATTCCTGGTTGGTCTTTAGGCACTACAGTAAGCATGACCAATAGGGAGGTGCTGACACCATACAGCTGTGTTTGAACAGAGGAGAGTGGCTGCTATCAATTACTGATCTGGATGAAAGTGCTTAGGAAATGCAGTGATGGGTACTACAGAAAACTCAAGGACAGGTAGATCACTATGATAAAGTCTAATGCTTTGCAGCCCCCAGTATAGCTTAAACAGCCTGTCTGGTACTGCCCAGAATCCCCACAGTGCTGCGTTTTACAATCTCACCCTGACATATACTGCCTGCCCAAACTTTTTGCTTGTAAGGGGGGCAGGGAGGGTCCTGTGAAGGCAATCTTATGGCAATCTTGCTCCTATCCTATACCTGGGCTATTCTCTCGGGCTTTCAGGGTCTTTTTACATCCTTCCAGCCTTTTATCTGGCATAAAAGGACTGGATTGGGGGTGATGTTCTTACTCAGCACTAAAGTATTTATAGGTCCATCAGCAAGTAGGAAGCTGCTATGTCTAACCAGGGACTTTGTTCTCAGAATTAGAGGAAGGCAAGCTTCAGATCTAGATTGTTATCACCTGGACAAGAGGAAGAGAGGAAAGTTGCAGTTTTTTTGGGTGAATGCCTCCTCTTTGGCAAGAAAGAAGAAAAGAGAGACTGAAGAGCCATTTATTTCCAACTGAGATGTGCAGAGGATGACCTCTCGCTCCTTGAAACACTGCATCAATGAGTTATCATGTTTATCACTGATATGATGCTTTATATATTTTAAACACTGCACAGATGTTAGCTAATTATATTTGACAGAAATATCTAATGGTACCTGTGGATAGATACATTAGGTCAGATTCTCAGCTGGCTCAAATGAATGTAGCTTGACTGATTTCAATGGAGATATACAGATTTGTATAAGATGGATCTGGAACAGGCTAGTTGTGTTTCCATTTCTTATCTGTCTCGGAAAAGCTGTAGTCTGCTGTTTTGCTAAGAATGACATCCTCAGTTCTGTACAGTATTCCACACCTATGGATTCAGACTGAGAGAAAAATAACTGTCAGCCTATGTAATGACAGCTCAAGCATGAGCTCACAGACAGCTAAATCCTGATCAATCTCGGCTTGCATGTAATATCAGCTGCTACCACAAGATGTCATCCCAGGCCATGTAATAGAGCATGACTTGCATGGCAGATGAAAGGACATATAGTTAACACAACTCACTTCAGTAGAGATGCTTGAGCCCCAGCCATTGCGAAATGAATTACAAGAAGTGAAACATGAGGATTTAATGTGAGATTTGTAGAGAGGAATGACTCAGAGGGAGAGAAAGGAAACAGAAAGAGGATAAAGACTGAAGGAGGAAAGGGAGTAGGGTGGGGAATGGGTGGATGTGAAGCTGGAGAAGTAGAGAGAAAGGAGCTCTGGAACCCTCATCCTGTCTTTATTTGATGAGACTGTTTTGCATGGACATCAGTGGGTACTGGAGCAGTTCCCAGAGTTTCGGAGTGGGAAGGGCTTAGAATTGGCCCAGGAAGAATTTGCACAGGAAGAACTCATACTTCTGCTTGCAGATAATAACTTCGATTTAGTGGGGCTATCGGAAACCTGGTGGGACCCTACCCATGACTGGGTGGAACATATCGAGGGCTACAGGTTGTACAGAAGGGTCAGAGTAGGGAGGAAAGAGGGTGGGGTTGCTGTCTATGTAAAGGAGCATTATACATCTACCCTCATCAAAATGGGATCAGAGGAGAAAGTTGAGGCATTGTGGGTTAGGATACATGGAGGTCGAGGGGAAAGGGACTTGGTGGTGAGGGTCTGCTACAGACAACCACACCAAGAGGAAGAGCTAGACTTGGAAATCTTGAGGCAGCTGTCAGAGGCCATATAGTCTAGGGACATGGTTGTCATGGGGGACCTAAACTACCCTGACATCTGCTGGGAGGAGCAGTCTGCCAAATCCAACCGTTCACATAGGTTCTTAACCTGCGTGCAGGACCTTCACCCAACGTAGGAGGTATACGGTCCCACTAGGGGGAATGCCTTACTGGACTTGGTGTTGGCTATGGGGGAGGACCTGGTAGGGGAGCTGCAGATTCATGGTCACCTTGGGGACAATGACCACCAATCAATCGAATTCACCATATGGTGTGGGGTGGGTAAGATAACTGGTAGGGTGGAAGTGCTTGACTTTAGGAAGGCTAACATCAGTGTGCTTAGGAGTCTAGTCAATGATGCACTGCAGGAGAACAGTATTGGCGAGATGGGAGTCCAGGAAGGGTGGTCATTCCTAAAGGAAGCGATCCTTCGGGCACAGAGGGAGACGATCCCAATACGAGGGAAAAGGGGGAAAGGAGTCATCAGTGTGACAAAATCATCAGCAAAGCTAACAAGTGCAGAGTGCTGCACCTAGGGCGCAAAAATATCCAGCACACCTGGCTGGGAAGTGACCCTCTCAGCAGCACAGAAGTGGAAAGGGATCTCGGAGTCATAGTAGACATAGGGTCCAGAGGAGGGCCACTCTTATGGTCAGGGGCTTACAGGACAAGCCCTATGAGGAGAGACTGAGGGACCTGGACCTCTTCAGCCTCCACAAGAGAAGGCTGAGAGGTGATCTTGTGGCCGCCTACAAATTCATTAGGGGAATGCAGCAAGGGATCAGAGATGCTCTGTTCACCAGGGCACCTCTTGGGGTAACAAGGAACAAGGGTCACAAACTGATAGAGAGCAGGTTTAGGCTAGATATCAGAAAAACTTCTTCACGGTAAGGGTGGCCAAAATATGGAGTGGGCTTCCAAGGGAGGTGGTGCTCTCCCCTACCTTGGGGTCTTTAAGAGAAGGCTGGATAGGCATCTGGCTGGAGTCATCTGACCCCAGCAC